CCTGAAACAGCGACCTCTGTGCTTGGCATATAGGTTTTATAAAATGCTTTTATATTTGTAATCAAACAAAGAATGTTATTTGTTATTTACTAGCCTAGCAAAGCACTACAGTCACACAAAGATTACGGGTATACTAAGAAATATTACACTATGAAAATTACAAGTGAAAATTTCACTAAATATTAATCAGCACTTTTGCTCTCAAATAACTGCAACTTTAGTAAAATCATCTTCTAAATGCTAACTTAGGTGGGAAGACTGATTGAGAGAAATATATATATATTTGCCATCAATTATTAGATGAAAATAATTCTAATTTTTTTTACTATTTGATTTCAAAACATGCAGTGCCACACATTATTTTAACCTGAATATGTCCAGACACTGCACAAGCAAGACAATTACACATTTTTTATAGAGATACCCACGTAGCTTTCAGAAATGTAATACATTCCTTTTAAATTGTCACTTTTGTGTTTTAGTTTTTAATCTCTCCCCTAAGACATCTTTATATGACCTATGAAAATATTTTTTCATTTTCTTTCTTAATGAATACTGATATTTTTTAAATAGTGACATTTAAATAGACAGACACCTTCCTCAAATTTACTTATCTCTTCAGTAAAGAAGCCATGGCTAAGTCAATTTAAAAACATGTATGTGCCTGGAAGAATAATTTCTAATCTCTCTCTTTCAGAAATTAGATATTATAATGTACTGATACCAATCCAATCCCTTCTATCTTAACTCTAGACAAAATCAGTTACGTTTCTTCTTAAGAGATGCTTTCCCTTCGAACACGGTATTCAAGGAATTAAATAGGAAATTCCTCAAACGTGCCGCTTTTGCTGCGACATCTGGAAAGAAGCGGTGCCCTCTGCTGTGCCGGGCGGGGATGCTCACCCAGCCCTGGGCGCAGCATCCCTGCCCGGAGCCTGGAGCTGCAGGTCCCTCCTTCTGAGCAAGGACAGCTTTCTGCTCCTCTAACCAGCCCCCGACACGCACCTGATGGTGGCACCCTGCTACTCTCACATGGAAAGGTCCCAACAGAGCAGCTTCATCACACTGTGACACATAGAGTGGACTAACAGCAAAGTTCACTTAACGATAGCCTCTTTCTACCTAAAAGAACACTTGACAAACTTCACTCATATTCGAAACATTTTTAGATTACTTAGTTTACAGTGAAGAAAAAAAATGTGTATTTGTTCTTAATTAGCGACTTCATTCTTACATTTTCTTCAAACTTTAGTAACTGAGCTAACACCACAGCTCAAAAACCATTTATCTACCTGTATCAAAAATCACCTCATCCTTCCTAAAGACAAGGTTTCCTATTTATTACTTTAATCCATTAATGAAGATAACACTCAAAGCATTTGGCCCTTCTAAAAGATTTCCGTAAGCAATTCCATAGAGAAAAAAAAGAACTTTAAACCTGTTTTTTTCTTTGTTGTTTATAATGCAAAACTTAAATATACAAATGCAGAAGGCAAACACAGTAAAAAGTGAGNACAAATATCATGTGGGTTTATCAGGATATTTGGCTTATCAAGCTGCTACCTTTTCAACAATTTTAATCAGCATTTAAGTGCCTTGTCTGTAAGTTTCACTATTTACAAAACAGTAACAACAGAACTGCAAACTGAAGGTGAAAGCTAGAACACAAACACGAACATCTAAAAGATTACCAACACAGCAGAGACACCACCAGGCAGCTCTGAGGTAAGGTCAGCAGCACATATTGCTGCAAAAAACCTTAAAGAGCTACCTAGGAAAAATATCATCACCATGCTTTTTGAATCATCTGAACACAAACACGTGACAGCATGCCCATTTATCAAGTATACTTATACTTGCCTTAACTAAGCCACTGCCAAACAACTATCAGCCAGTTCATCCAGTTTCAAAAACGAAGGAACAGCTGACATAGGAAACCTATAAAGGAGCATTACCAAGCCTCTTCCCAAAAGAAAAAGAAACACAAAGAATCCAAACACCACCTCTGGCTCTTACAGGATGAAGCACAGCAAAAGACACTTGTCAGCTGAGATAAGGAACACAAGTGCTCCTCTGACTGTACCTCAGGTAAGGGATGAGCAAGACCCCATTCCTCCTGCTTCAAAGAGCAGATCCTGAAGTTGATGGGACCCCAGGAAGGGACTGCAGCTAGAGCCACCACACCCTCTCCTGAGAAAAGTGTGTGCTCCTCTCAGACAGATCCTATTAAAAGATCTTCTAAATATTTGAGTTTTCCCAATACCACCCAGGGCATCCTACCATAAGTATTACCTAGCTTTGCCACAGTAGCTTCAGAGCTGCTCTCAGCTGTGGAAAGTTTATTTATCAAATAACATACTTTCTAGCAATCAAATATCAGCTAAAAGTGGTGATAATGTGATTTCAAGAAAACTACACAAAATGAACAGATTACACTGCAGTCACATCCCCTTTATTTCCCTCATTTCATGCTACCATCCCCTGCTAACTCATTCTCACCCAAACCCACTCCCTCTTCAGTAAACTCCTCAAAGAGCAATCAGTGAATAAACATTAATCACACTCAGACTCACTGAGCATTACCTGGGCTAAGAACAGCATGAAAGTAGACTCCTTGTAATCTTCATCTCATTATTATGCTTTGACCATCACTAGGCACTGCAAAGCAAGCTACTTTCCCTCCTCTGGTTCAAGTGAAAAAGTAGCTCAGCAAAGTGGACAGAAATTCAGAGTTGTGGTCCACATATTAACATTAAAATCCTAGTTTCATTTCTAGTAATGCATTATTTGTATTTGTGATTGCAATTCCACTTGAAAATAACATTGTGAATACAGTGTAATATTTGAGTTAGTTAAGAAGCTTTAAAGGCTTAGTAACAATTCATTTACAGATAGAAGGAGATTATGTAGATAGAAAATAATGTTTCCAGCTACTCACTTCAACAGAAAAACAAAAAGGGAAAAAAATTAAAATCTCCAAATCCCTAAAGCAGCATTCAGTATCTGCTACAGCTACATGAAGTGATTCTGTTCCTAAACTCTTCTGAGGACACCCCCTTGGACCCCACTTGAGCCCTTGGGCTAGGCAAACCTTTGATCTTTGCACAGCCAAATCCACACTTGCTAGTGTGGATTTTCAGTGGAAAACAGAATATTATAGATTATGCAGTAATTTGGGATATCAGGTCTTGGATTCAGTGATAGGCATTTCCAGTTCTACACCTGTAGCACCAAGCAAGTCCTGTCATAATAATTCACAGCCTTAATCTCCATATCCTACTGAGCACATTTCAAGTAATCACAGATATAGGTGTGGTCAAACAGAACTGAAAAAAGCTACAAAAATGACTGTCAAGGATAAACACTAACATGGAATCTCTTCCACCTGAGGAATAAGCAAAAGTCAGGGGTTTTCAGTTTGGAAGAGATTCTGGAATACGTACACACAAACTTTTTTCTGTTTCTGCTAATGGGCACTGTCACAAACTGTGAGAAAAATCAGCATAAAAAAACTCAGTGCACTGCTAGAGAAAGTGATAGTTATTCACAAAATCTCTACGTTTATTTTATCATTCACTCTTTCCCAAGTTCCATTCACTCATGTTCCCATACCCCCAGATTTCCAACAAGCATCTGGGGAAAACCCATTTAGGTACAACACCGAGGATGAAGGTTGCCAGCTATCAAGGCCTCACCACATCTCTGGTATTATTCCTGTTTGGCAATGGTGAACTCGGTTTTGGACAAATCTTTTACACCCTTCAGGAGCCAACAGCTGTAGACAGGGTGGTCCTTTGCTCCAGAATTCTACTTACTGCAGCCTCAACGAATAGCAGACTGCTGCTCACTGTCTCTCTCTCCATGACTGATTCATGGTGGAGTAACAGGAAAACAAATGGCACATAAGATACGGGACACAATCCTGTAATTCTCCTTGTGCACTTGAGGAGCAGGGTCTGCTCCTGACCAATCACTCATGCTGCAGCTTACCAGAATGTAGGCCTTGCCAAGCACAGCATCCCAATTTTACAGCCAAGGACAGCTCCTCAGAGAGCTGTGGGTTTTCACAATAATATGCAGCATCCTTTCAACCCTTGTCCTGATGTTTCTGATGCTGGCTTCACACAGATACAATTCTACAGGTGTTTTCACTCATAAAAGTCTTTATATTTCCACTAAAAGTCTCTGGAATACTGGTTTAACAGGTCTTTGGCCTGACCCAATAAAATCATTAAGAGATTTTCCACATCCTCCCTGTAAGCCTGTAAAAAGCCAGAACACAGTTTTGTCCATGCAGCAGTACCTTGCATTCTACACAACCAAAACTGCTTGCGTGCTTTCTACATTACATTTTTGTAGGAGCATCTTAAAAAGAAGTATGAGCTCTCCATGTTTCTATAGGCTATTTACTATGCAGGGTGAAGTGGTGAGAAAAGACAATCAGAGTTGTTAGGGTTGGAAAGGACCTCTGGACATCATCCAGTCTAACCCTCCTGCCAAGATAGGGTCACCTGGAGCAGGTGACACTGGAATGTGTCCAGGTGGGTTTCTGGGTTTTGAATGTTTCCAGAGAGGGAGAATCCACAACAGAGCCCGTTGCAGTGCTCTGCCACCCTCAGTGCAAATAAGTTTTTCCTCGTGTTGAGCTGAAATTTCTTGTACTTCAGTTTATGGCCACTGCTCCCTATCCTGTCGCTAGGCACTACTGAAAACGCTCTGGCACCATCCTGTTGCCACCTGCCTTGGAGGTATTTATATGTATGAATGAAATCCCCTCCCAGTCTTGTCTTCTCCAGACTGAACAGGCCCAGCTCCCGCAACCTCCCCTCGTAAGAGAGACGCTCCAGCCCTCTCTTCATCTTTCTAGCCTTCCGCTGGTCCCTGTCCAGCAGCTCGTCGTCTCTTTTGTACTGAGGAGACCAGAATTGGACACAGCACTCCAGCTGTGGCCTCGCTAGGGCCGAGGACGCTGCCCCGGCTCGAGCCCCTCGCTCCCTCACCTGCCGGGGGCCGGAGCCCTCGGTGCCGCTGCCCGGGCGCTGCTCCGTTCGCTGCGGGGGAGTCCCGGCGGCTCCCGGCGCGGCCCCGCTGTGCCTGCGGACGGCGGGCATCAGCACCCGCCATGGCCGGGCCGCGCGGCTCCCCAGCGCCGCCGCCATCACTGTCCGGGGGCGGTACCTGCGGCCCCCGCGCAGGCGCAGCGCGCCGGGCCGAGGCCGGCGGCGCCATCTTGGGTGAGGGACAGCGGGCGCCACGCTGCCCCCGGGCGGCAGCGACTGGAGGGGAGAGAGCGCTGGAGCTGCGCCAGGCAACGGGCGGGTCGGGCGTCCGGGGGGATTTCTTCACTGAAAAGGTAATTGCACATTGCAACGTGCTGCCCAGGCAGCGGGTGGAAGGAAAGACTGGACGTGGCACTTCATACAGAGAACAACGTGAGTCGGATGGGACCCACAAGCATCATCAAATTCAACGCCTGGTCCTGCACAGGACACGCCAAGAGTCACACCCTGTGCCTGAGAGCATTGTCCAAACACTTACTGAGCTATGCCAGGCTTGGTGCTGGGATCATTTCCCTGGGGAGTCTCTTCAGTGCCCAAACACCCTCTGCGTGAAAAACCTTCCTCCTCTACCCAGCCTGAACATTCCCTGCCACAACCTTCTGTCACTCCCTCTGGAGCCCCACTCAGTGCCATGATCTAGTTGACAAGCTGCTGTTTGGACCTAAGTTGGACTCCCTGCTCTCAGAGGTATTTTCCAGCCTAATCGATTCTGTGATTACCATACCAGCCCCGAAAGCAAAGCTTCAGGGGTCACAGCAGCCCCAAAGGCACCTGCACACAAGGAAAGGAAGGCTTGGGCAGAGGAAGATGCAGGAGCTCCTGGAGTATAATAATGTGTTATGATAAAAGGACTGCAATGTGGCCTTAAAAAAAAAAAAAAAAAAAAGCCTTCCTTCAGGAAACAGAAAGCTCACCTCTGGACTAAATGACCTCTCTCTTTGTCAGATAAATAAATAAAAGAGCCATCCAATAAGGGTCATGTTCCAGAAAAACCTGCAAACCTGGCCTAAATCGTACTGATCCAAAAGAGGAAGAGCTCCATTCTCTCTATACCATTCAATTCTCTATTCCTTTGTTAAGGTGGAGCTGTCAGAGGTTGAGGGAACATGTGAACCTGTTTTCTGAACTTCACTATGTAACCAGGGCAGTTTAATTTTATGTAATGGCAGAGCACTGAAAGAGGCTGCCAGAGAAGGCAATAGATTCTCACTCTCTGCAGACATGCAAAATCCACGTAGGCACAGTCCTATGCAACCTGTTCTAGGGGTGACCCTGCCTCGACAGGGAGTTTGGACTAGATGAACTCCAGAGGTCCCTCACAACCCTCACAATTCTGTGATTTGTAATTTTATGTAAGCCACTAGAAGGCAACCTAGGCTCAGTCTTCTCTAGAAATGCCAAGCCCAGCCATGCAGATTCCTGGACGTACAGTAGTATCAGCACTGCTTTGAACCAAACTTAAAGGATTGTTTCAATTGGAAATAAAATTTCCTTACTTATTTACATTATCCTCCATGTTCACAGGACAATATATTCCTCATATACACTTTTATTAAGCTTCTCACATGTAATTAAGCATACATTCTATATCTGACATGCTAGCTAGGTTGTCAGGAGCAAACTTTTTTTCCTCCAGACACCTGTGGCAATTGAAGTCTCATGGATTTCACACAAATGTAGCAAAATTTGTTTCCAGTTCTAAGTACAGTGATAAAACATTCTAACCATGTGGCAGGAACACATGAAACACAAGAAATTTGAGGAGTACAGCAGAAAAAACAAGATGTAGGAGGACACATCTTTTAGGAGAACTACGCTGAGCAATGACACTGTGCACCTCTCAAAACAGACTTCTGGGCTCAAGAACAGGCCTTAAATACATTTTTTTAAAAAAGAGTATGATGGTGTAGCAGATGTTTACAGAGTTCAGCCTACAAGGGAAACAACATCAGGATACAGGAGCAATTCTTTTGATGACTAAAAAAAGAACCATTTCTGGGGTCAGGCTTATTCTTCCATTCCATGCTCTCTTAGTGTGGATGTGACACCACCACATGTGAATGAAGATGAATCTTTTTGTGACTGGTCAAATGTTCAGAAGAGTGTTATCTTACCACAGTGACATCCTGTACAAAAAACAAGACTGAAAATGTTATGGTGACTGAACCAAACCAGCACTATGAGGCATCTTGCTTCCATCTGTGTTGGTCAGAAGTTTCCAAGGTGGACAATGCACAGACAGATGGGTAAGTTTTACATGTTCTATGTTACCTAGCCACACTTGCTGTATGAGGAACACGTTCATAAGACAGTACATTCCTACTCATGTGTGATCCTGCCATAATTTGTGTAAAGCCTGCTGATACTGAAGTCCTTTCTTTAGCTGGGAGTGATCCTTTCTCCTTGTCCAGTCTCCCAGTCCAGTGTCCCTTGCAGGCAACACTCAACTGAAACAATCACAAAGGAGCGAAGTAACAAGCTTCAGTTTGGCAGCAGCAGTAGATTCATAAGGATTAAGTCGAGCAATAGTTACAGACTGAAAAGAAATTATGTATCCACAGTATCTGTACAATATAATTAACTTCTCAAAAGAATTTTTTTCATTGCTATATTTTAAAGGTTGTCTTCAAATTACAGGTAAATCCTTTAAATGCTTGAAAGGCATAGAAATTCCCCTTCCCACACAAAACCCCAAACAATGTATTTTAGTTTCAAAAATATTTTGAACCCACAAACAAGCTTGGTATCAGTTAATCAGGTAAAATAACTACGTGCTAAATAAAAGCACATCTGGTGGAAAGAGCGCAGAGAATGTTACAAGTGTGCTTGGTTTCTCCTTGCAGCATCTGGCAGTGGGTAGCAGGATAGAGGCAGAAATCTCAGTGGGTCTCTTCCTCCGTCTGTTCTGCAATAGTTTCTGTGGCACTGGCATTGGCAGCAGAGTTGAGAACTTCTCCAAAGTCTCCCCCAGCAGGTTTGCTTCCTCCAACTTTAGACTAGAACACAGAGAGCCCCAACAAAGCATAGTAGTTACTTGGCATGCCAAACATGCTTAACTGAACAAAACCAGTAGATGTGTGAGTTTAGTAACTCTCTTCAACAAAGCAGCTTTTCCAGGTCTAGGAGACCTCCACAATATTCTTCAAACAAATCTCTACATATCTGGCAGGAAACACTCACCAGCAGATTAACACAGCAGCCTCCTTTTGACTTCGAGATACATGAAGCAGCCCTTATTCCAGGGCTGATTCCAGAGTCCAAAAGTTGAAACACCCGCAGTTACAAATGGATAAAGGTATGCAGCCTTTCTAGCCATTACGTCTTTAGGAGATTCAGAGTTAAAATTTGCTACTTTATTTCTCAATAAAGAACTTTGGACAGTTTTGAGTCTCAACAGAAATTCCCTAGATTTTCAGAGGAGTGGAGCAACTATTTTACTTTCTCCAGGTAACATGTTCACCTTTTCACTTCCCTCTGCAGCATAATACCCCTGCAATCCCACAGAATGTAATACCAATTAGTTGCAAGAGAAAGCCTAGCTGCCCTTACTATCATTTGAATGCCTCTCATCCAGCCCAGTGTGCTTAGGAGAAGTCAAATCTGGTTCTGATTATACATATTAGTTATTTTTAAAGTTAGTTTTCACCTGGAGGAGCTATTGATGGTTTTTTCTGGCACTTGATGCTTTCGGGAGTAAAGTTAAAATTAAGGTGCAATGACCTTTTGTCTTTTATGCCAGAAATGAGAGATGTATCCCAAGCTATTCTCCTGTGTAGGATACTAGACCCTGGAAAGGCATGAAATAAAAGCCTAGACAACTTTGGATACCTAGTATTAGGCATTAATTACTTTGGATGCCTAGTACTAGCTGTTTGTATAGGTTAGCTATTAGGTCTTCTAAAGGCATCCTCCTGTATAACATACAGGCAGCCCATTATTTTATTTGCAAATCATTAGGCAGAGAAAACATTTCCACAGCACTTAAAAAAATGTTAATCTAAGCACCTCTTCAACAATTTACCAGTAACTAAAAAACAGGCTGCCCAGAATCCATTTGAGTCTTTTCTCCACATCCACAGCTCCACAATTACCAAGGTCTTTTAGAAATTCTTACCTTGAAGTTTTCAACTTTTTCCTCAAAGGATTTGAAAGTAGGAGAATTTCTATGAAAATAAAAAAAAGGAACCACAGAATTAAAACCACATCTAGTTAACCTATAAACACCACGAAACAAGCAGACAGTTGCTTTTTCCCAAGAGCAACACGAGATTTGTTAGGAGCTCTTTCCTTGTTTTAAAGACAGCCTAAAAATAATTTACATCTGGCTCCCCCCAAGTATTACAAAATTAAAATTCAAACATACTCAAATTGCAGGCTCACTTTCATCTTTGGCAACTAAACATTGCCATGTCCAGTGATAGGATCTTTCATATCAACATGAAGGGAAAACTAGGAAGTATTTTCGGTTTAGCTTATTATTCCCAGTGATTTCAAACACGTTTCTGGCTTAAAGCATTTGTTCAGAAAAATCTTAGTTATCACTTCTGGTTAGCTTACTAATATTATTGCTGAAGAGAGCTCATCAGAGTTTTTTTCACTTTTTATAGGAAAAGCAGTTCAGTTTACTTTGCTATAAGTTCAATAAATAAAACATGGTTCACAGTGGCATTTTCTGCTAACGTTAAATTTAAGTGAGACCCCCCCTCCTTGCCTTTAAATGCCAAAGGCAGCTGTAATTACAAACAGTATGTTCTGCATACAAAAAGCAGGACAGCTTGGGATTTCCAGTGCTGAGGGCTGGTGTATAATTCATTAGGGCCAGAAGAGTGGCTTAATGCTCCAAGTAGCTGTCACTGCCATGTGAAAATTTGTACACTAGTACACTTTTTCTGCCTTTACGTAGGATGGAAAATGCTTGCCTTCAGTGGACCAGGACTAAGGATTACTCAAAAATGTACTATATAAATATTGAAGACAAGGGTGTTTTTAAAGGTCCACAGCTTCCCTTCTTCCTTTGCTTGGCATTTGTGTAGGTCACCCACACTTAGCAGCACTTTTTCCCTTGAGAAAGCACTCAGTGACACATGCATCAAACCAGACCCTCAGAAGATGGAGGGACACAGTGCCAAGCAAGCAGAGAGAAAAGGCAAGCACTCCAGATCACCTAGAGGCTTCTGAAACCACAGGGTTTTTTTTACTCACTTTCATTTTCAAAAACATATGCCAAACTACTGCCTTTTAAACGTGGAATCACTTAGTAGCATTACAGTCTAACAGACAGGGAAAAGCTGTTATAGCTTTCCAAACAGTAAGGAAATGTCACTTTCCAGATGTTTGATAACCACCTCCATTAACCAGAAATAAAACAAATTTTACCCTATATGTTAGTATAGGAAATCCACTACAAAGCTGGGTAGGTTTTTTTTTTTGTTTTTTATAAAACTATGTTAGTTGACTTAAGTTCAATCTGACTTGATTCCACACATGAAAATAAATAAACCAAACAGCTGGATTATGCATACATTACCTCATAATAGGCATACTAATTGAATGTTGTATGGAGCGTATACTAAATGCCAGCATTAAGAGAAAAGAAAGCAAAAAGTTAGTTTAAGTATTACATTGAGAAAAAATTGGCTTAGAGAGCTGCCTTCTGTAAACTATCTTTGGTAAACAGCCAAACAGTCTTACACAGTCTTAGTAACTGCTTGGGTTTGCTTTCTTAAATTGCTTAGCCATGCACATACACATACAAGTACATTAGAGCAAAAGCTGCAGCAACCTTTTTCTTTTAGAAAACTCAAGTGCCATGCTTGTTAGTACTTGTTCTGTTTAGCTGCAACAGTCTGTCTGCTCCTTAAGTTTCTCAAGCAACAGGAGTCATGCTGTGTTTACAGTTTCGGCAATAGCAAGTAAGAAACACTTATTAATCAGCTAATCTTCCTACTGGAAGAATTATCTCTACATCCAGAAGGCTTCCATTTCAATTCAGTGTAAGTTTTTTACACTCATCAATACAAATTATCTACTCATCAATATACATTATCCAACAAAAGCAGTCACATCAGTCAGTATTCAAGATCAGGTTTATGCTAGGAGAAGGGATAAAGTCCTAGTCCTGCGTTCTGAAATTCACAGAGGATTTCTATAACCTGACAGTGTTGCTATACAGTTACTGTTTGTCTAGCAAGAAAACACATCTACTCCTAGAACATAACATATAGATGAAGGAGCTCCCGAATAACCTCAACATCACCTGGCATCTAATTTAGTTCCATGAAGAAAAATCCCTGTTTACTGCAGATACAAACAAGCCTTATATGTTAAATAGTTATTACCAAATACCACAACAGTAACTTAGAATTATTACAAGTGATTATCTGAGTTTTTCATGACTATATATGGAATGTCAAAATTTGTCTGGGCTTTATGATGTCTTTCAAGAGAATACGATCCAGGCAGTTGCTGGAGAAGAGGGAAGGGAAACAATTTTCTCATAAGATGTACCTCCAAACTTTCAATTAACACCTCAGCACAATCAATGGAAGATACATTCACAGAGGAAAAGAAGTTCTGTTTATTGCAGAACAAGTTTTAAGAGATTCTTTATGAGAGCTCATCAGTAAAATACTGTGATAGAAAAATAAAAACAACACACATAGAAAGTTCCCTGATCCCTTAAGGCAGATGCACATCTATTGGTTGATTTGTAGTTACAGAGTACTGGGAATCAGATACACATAGCCAGATGCTTTCCTGGCACATCAGTAATGCACAGCTATGTTTCATCTTTTCCCCAACCTCATTTCTCCTGTATTTCATTCTTAAGGATGGTCTGGCTTCCACAGGCATTTCCAGAACAGAGAGAAGCTGACTGTCTTCTGGACTGTAATTTATATTCTTCACTGTGATGTGGATTACTACAAGTTCTGGGCTTGGCACATGGAGGTTTTATTACAGAGCTCCACTGAGACTGACTAGTTTTAGTCAATGCTCAGCCAATTCCCCTCACGCTGCAAGAAGTTTCTCCCTGCAAGAAGTTTAAGGCTAAAGAGGAAGAAATACATATATTTACAAACTGTAGAACTGCTCACACTGAAGAACAACAACCTACAGTGTACTGTAGATATTTTAACAGGTGTCTACAAAAGTTTAGTTAAATCTCAGACACCATTTAATAGAAGAATTATTCATTAAGAACTTACTTGCTCCTGTACAATACACTTCTGTATACCCTCAGTATCCGGTTTGCAAAATGACACCATAAGATACTACATAGTTTTATCACACAATGATCTGGTTTGCAAGAGAACTGAATTAGATAAATGCAGTTGATTTTTTTAGCATAAACCACCTGTTCTTCAGGTAATGCAAAGAGGCACAATTAAGCCTTGAACAGCTTTAGGAAGAAGAGAACTTGTATTTCTTTTTCCAAATGACAGAATGCCACACTAGAGTGCTCACTAAACTAGGCCATCAAGTTGGGCAGTTTGAAAGACAAACCCTCTTTGCAATGCTAAAAAGCAAACCCCTAGCTTAAAAAAGACAATAAAAAAGGCACAGTAAGCTGCTCTCCAATCTTCCATGTATTTTGTATTGCATTAAAGCTTTCTTATCCTCTACACAACAATTTTTTTAAAGCTACTCCATTGCCTCACATTTTGAAAATGCACAAGAAGGTATGCCAGAGTCCCTGCCTAGAAAACACAGCTTGACATACACAGTAGCTAGTAACTTTCATTAGTAGTTAATTTCCAGCTGATACACTGACAAGTTATGGTAGTTATGGTATTTAGGAATCTATGATCATAGATCAGACTTCTAAAGCAAGCAAAGAAAGTTATTCTGCAATCTCAGATCAAGGCAATGATGGACTTTGTTCCATCATAGGGATGCAGTGCAAGAAGAGCCAAGTGCAAAGTCACGACTGCTCAGAAGCTACATTTTGGTACTACTCTTTTGCATAGAATACTGATGTTGCCTACAGAAGGAAGGTTAGCTCATCAAAACTTCAGCAAATTCTTATAAAGAGAATAAAGGTATTAATAGAAATCTAAGAAGGAACAGAGTTCATCTTCATCATAACAAAGAACAGAGAAAACAAATACAAAAAGGAAGCAAAAATACACTGACATTACACTACCTGTCCTCATTTCCTCTCCGTTCCAGTAGTTTCCAAAATCACTGCTCCAGCAGCTGCCTCACTCCCTTTTGCAACTCCCTATTAAATCACTTTGCAGTGTTCAAATAAAGACCTGTGCGTGATGGTTGCTGCATGGAATATGTAGCAATAGTCCAACATGGAAGAAAAAGTCCCTCAACCAAAACAATACAAGGGAAAATGAAGCTACAATGAAGCCAATGTAAGAGTGTAAGACGAAAAATGTACCTGCATATTCAGTATTAGTTCAAGTAAGTATCAGGCCTGTCAACTCTCACTTCCAGGATAGAATTTAGGCATCTAAACCTTTCTGAAGCTCAGACTTGCCCTTAGTAGTCACATAACCCTCAGACTTGAATTCACTGGCTGAATTCCAGATGAATTCGGTTCTCATGAAAAACAAAAAAACTCAAGCACTTTTAATCTTTTGTTTCAAGTGCAACTAACATCTTCAACAGCACTAATTCTTCATACTTTTACTTTGTTTTCCAAACACAGCTACCCCTGAATTTATAAAAATGCCTTGCATTTCCATCATCATGATTTTCTCTGAGAAGCACACCAACTGTTCGGACTTCTCTGATACTGTTACATTCCTTCCTAGTGGCCTCTTTCTGATAAAGAGTACTCAACACCCACAGAGCCACTAACTGGACTAATTACAACACTCTTAAGGAAGGTATTCCTGAAGTACAAGACAACTCTGAGTCTGTGCTTGTCCTTTTAGAGTGCAATAGTCCAATACTAATTGGGAACACCAAAGCCCTAAGGTAGGAAACTGACTCCTGTTAAGTGAGCAGCTGATCTCTGCATCCAAAAGGAACAGAGAAGTCTTGCAGGTTCACACTGTCTCACTGATGATAAACAGGACATATTTGAGACTGGCTGCTATTCTTATATCTGTTCAAACTGAGCTCACTTCAGAGTCTGAGTTCTCATAGCATCCTATGCCTCTGCCCATCTCCTCCCCTGGGACAACAGCTCCCAGTTAGTACTCCAAGAGCCAAATCCCAACATCTTTATGCTGTCTTTAGCTACTTTAGTGGGAGAGTACAGAAAAGATTAAGTCAGACCCTTGGTGTGCATAGATGGGCTGAGAGGCAATGGACAAAAGTTGTTACACAGGAATTTTAACTACTGAAAACATTGAGTATTTGCTTAGATCAAAGGTAATGTGGATGAAGTAACTAAAATACTGGCACTGCTAGAGTAATCAACTCAAGGACTGTTTCACTGGACAAACTATGAACAAAAAAGGTATAAACTATTTTACATTTAGACTCTAATAATTTAGTTAGAATTACAATGCTAAACAGCCATTGTAATAGACACAAAGAGGGGAAAATATCTACCTGCCACAGTACAAACATTGTACAGACAAAGAAGGAGGAATCCTGCATGCCATTGACCTCAACACCATATTCTGTCTCTTGATAAAAAACCTTGCAGAATTATTTAGTGGGTTGCTTTCTAACAAGGAAGAGAGACTAATTACTATGTATACTCAAGTTTTCATGTTCTGAGATAGGTGAACATGAAGAAACATCTTCCCTGACATTAAAAGATTTTCAGTTTTACCCTTACTAACAATGGAGAAAAGAAGAAATAACATTTTACAGACAAAACTTTCATCAAAAACTTTAATGGAGACAGTCTGACTACATGCTTAGTTTTCAGAAGCAATTCTTGTGCCCACCTTACCTAAAGGAATGTGAAAATGCCTGTAGTCTGCACAATGCCAGAGTAAGCATTAAAGAGAGAAAGGAAGTTCTGATAAATCTGAAGAAAAATATGTAACTGTGTAGCTGTACTTAATGTGTTTTCTCACTAGACTTCAAAAAGCAAGAGGTTAATGGCAGCACTTTAAAATGGCTGATTTTATTACACTGCTGCCAAAGCAGCAATATTCTGTGAGAAGGTGTAAATTTTTATTTGCCCAATAATTGAAAAATAAATTTAACAACAACAAATTACCTATGGAGATGAATAATTGTATGGGTTCCAGTAGTAAGAATTATACAATCAAGGAATTGTAAACTAACATCTGATTGTATTGAATCCAGCAGGATTTTTGGAAGCAACTCAAAATAGTTCTAAAAATGACTGGCAGACTAACCTAATGTGTATAAAGGGCTGTGTCATTTGGCACAAAGTCAAAATATGTTGCATGCCAACAGTAGTTTAGAATTTAAAAGTGCCAATAGTCTCTTAAAAATGTAATAAAATCAAGCCACTTCTATGAGGCAGAACAGCTTAGAAAGAAATAAAACACACTGGAAGGAATTGACACACAAAACAAAAACCCAAACAAACGAAAACCCAAACAAAACCCAAAAACAACAAAGAGCCAAACAACAAAACACAAACAGGTAAAGACATTAGTTGTTTAAATATGATGTTCCACAAGCTGAGAAAGAGAACAGAAATGATAGTGCTGTGTGTATCCCACAGAAGAAAGTAGACAGTGCCACCTGCAATCACACCAGAAAAGCAAGAACAGCAGTGGAGGTGGTAGCACACATTGCTTCTCTTGCCTATGTCAAATACACACCACAGAACTCCTCAGCATCAGTCAGGACATACAAGCAGATTCTGCAACAAGTCTCTTACCTCCCCTAAAACAGTTGCTGAAGGTTCTTGATAGATTAGCTTCTAGAAGCACTAGATATGTTACCAGCATAAATTTATTGCAGTGATTACTTGCTTAAATAAAAAATGCAATTACTTGAGAAAAGGTAAAGAAATCTACCTGACATCTTCAAATTTCTTGGTTATGACTGAACCAACAGAAGAAAAAGCAGCAGAAGCCTTCTGACCAGCCTGAGACAGGGTTTCTGATGTTCTCTTGTATCTGTGTTCAAAAAAACATTTAGTTTCTAGTTATGTTAATAGAACACATAAGGAAACTTTTAGTGTGTGTCTATTTGTATGAAATGCAGAGGGTCTAATGGAAAACCAACTTAAGACATTATTTTGAGCCTTTGCAGTCCCTTCTGGCTACAGCATCTCCACCACCTCTGACCAGGCCCAGTTCACCAAGATGCACCTACTACCCCACCCCTAGAAAAGATGCTATCTGCTGCTGTAGGATTTAGTAAAATATAAGATAAACTCCCACAGAAAACACCCCAATCAACAAAAAAAAAAACAACTCTAAAAAATACAACAGAAAACAAAACGTAAAAAACCAATACTATGTACACACATTGAAAATAGTCTATTTTTTGTGCCAAGTGTCTAAATTCTTGTACCACACAGTTCTGTCAATAAAATTCACCATAAGAAGTTTGAGATACATCTTGTGACATTGTGGTCATTAACTGCAGATGGTAATTAATTGCTCTAGACCTTAAGCTAACACATGTGTTTGGCAAAAACAGTAACTGTGACTTCATAATCTTCCTCCATGAGCTCAGTTTACAACAATTTTTCAGGGTGGAAAAGAAGAGTATTCTGTTGGACTTAGGACACCTTGGTATCTCAGATCTATCAGACAAAAAACGTGGGTTAGAATAGCCCATATTTTGGTTAATCATTCTTTGTTCCCATGAGATATGGCTTGCAGTGTTCTTTTAAAAAATTTATGTTGATTTACCAGAGAAGTTTTAATACAACTTAATTTTGTGTTATTTATACTCATTTCATAAGAACAGAGTGTTTAGATATGACACAAGATCTAAACAGTTTTCATTTCAACAGTCTAAACAATCATCATGAGCTGGTACATACGCTGTGGTTGAGGTAACATCTTGCCAGCTTTTCGTAATGTTCTGCTTTAGTTCTTGTAGTGAGTTAATTCCCAGTTTTCTCTTGATTTCTGCTAGATGCTTTTCTTTGGCAGCTAGCACTTGTGACAGCGTCTGGATTTCCTCTTCCACCTTTGGCATGAGAGTTGTTAACAAGTGGTTAACAGTTAACAAGGAATATACTCAACCATTTAACTATGGATTTCTTTAAAGCATCTACTAGACATCATTAATGGGAGGGCTAACAGAGGTTTTTAACGTTGCCTCACAGTCATTCCTAAATACTAAAAGGGAAATCCAGTAGAGGCTACAAGAGCTAGTGAGAAAGTAATCTACCTGCAGCTAACTCTGTTACTGGAATATGTACAAGGATGTTGGTAACTAAAAGACTGCATAGCTAGAAATTATTACCTATGATATGTAAAAGGTGAAGATTAGTCAAACCCGGGATAATCACCAAGCCTGTATTCTACTTCCACATCAGAAAATAAACCAATGTGTGACCAGTATGGAAAAGCTCAGAGCACGTCTGATCCATACACAAATTTTGTCTTCTTGCTTCAACAGAAAAGTCCTTAAGCCAGCACCGGTAGACTGGATACAGCCACGGGAGTGCCTTCCCCAGAGCAGGTATGGAAATGGTGGCAGACTGAGCAGTCAAAACCCACACAAAACCCACAGCACCTGCTCTGTAACTAGAAAACTATATTGTTTGTATACTTCCTTCTTTACCAGGTGGTCACTTAAGCCTCCCCTGGAAACATGACCAGAGATGTCAGCACAGTTCTACAATGCCATTCTGTGAGCTTTATAGAAGTGACAGAGGCACTAAGGCCATACCTACAAAGGCAAGGGCATACCTCCAATCCTTCACCCAGGCAAGATCACCCTTCTTTAGAGTATCAGGCTGCCCACTCATTTAAGCTCCTTATAGGAGTACAGCTCCTTACTGTACTCCTTACAGTATCTTCAATGCACTTCTGTTTTGGATATCTGTCCGAAATCCAGTGTGACATATCCTAGCAGGACCAGCTCACCCTCACTACCTTTGGCATGAAATGATACTCAAGACTGCCAAATACAAGAATGTATTAAATGTACCTAATTTAAAGCTAACCTTTGTTTGCCAACCTTAGACTTAAGTTAGTGTCTTTCATAAAAGTCTTAAGGTCCCATAGAGCTACTAAAGAAAAAAGACTGTCTGCTTAATAAAGCTTGACTTGGCATGGATCAGGCTTGAATATTTGCCTGTCTGTCCTTCAAAGAATGCTATTTTTTTCACTCTTAAAAATATTCTGTTATGGACAAGAACAGTAACATGGTTAGACATTAGCAATACAGTGCCTACACAGATACTGCTATAAAGCATTTTCATGAAAGAAACAGCTTTAGCCACTCCACACTAGTTGAGACAATACTTGGGTTTTGGCTTCCAACCATGTTCTCTTTGTTGACTTACCCCTTTCTCATTCAAGAAAAAAAAAAGGATTAGGTATTTATGTATCTTAGTTTAAAATCTGTACGTTCAGAACTTCCAGCTTAATTCCCCATCACTAAAACTGGCTGTTCTTTTCTCCTTGACACCCTTCCCTCCTATCTGTGCAACACATAGGAGTGCCAGCTTTAGACACTCACAGAATAACTATGCAAAGCATTAACTGTATGTTCAAAGATAACATTATCCCAGATTTTCATCATCAAAACAAGTTTAAGAGCTACTTGCAAAAGAATTACCTTGGCAAGCTCTTTTCTTAGTTCATCCCGTTCTTCTTCTGAGAGTGTTTCTGCCATACTGACTGTAGCAGCAGCATCCTCTCCAACCTCAGGTATAGAGTCACTCCTCAGCAGCCCTTGAGATGAATAAAGCATTAAAAGCCAGGTTATCACAACAATGTAGCTGCCAAACAGCAGCTAAGATTGGCACACAGCTCTTTTGTGCCAGTGCACAAAGGAAACTGATGAGAGGACAAAGTCAGGCTCTCCAACTACAGGAGGGAAACCAAAGGCATTTTATATTTCATTCTATCAAGCTGTATTAAAGCTCAATATAATAGCAACTGCTGCTGCAATAGGAGACTGGAAACCTGTTGAGAACAACACATCCCGCTACTCTGTGAGAGAAACCGAGGTGCAGAACGCTATGTCTCAACCAGTGCTTCCTACACAATCCTGCCCAGGAGTCTGTGTGCACTCTGGTGTCTCATTCATCTGGCACAGAAACTCTGGAAGGACTGGAGATGCTCAAGGCCAATGCAGAAGTTCCCTTAATCTCTGGATCAGATTTAAAAGTCCATTCTCAGCACACTGGGTGCAGCCACAAGCAAGGTTAACAACAGTAAAGAAAACTACTGCACTGCAAGTATGAACTCTTCCTCTGTACCCCTGCTTGATCTCTCTGCCCCTAGTAACTGGGACCACTGTAGCTAGAAGGTTGCAGATATCATGGAACTAGAAGTAAGCTGCTGGTTTGCACCTGGACCTTAAGATAGATGGGAAGCCCAGAGACAGAGCCTGGGAACAAAAGGCTGTTGCTTCAAAGCAAGGGAGTGATGAGAAGGGACTGATAAGGATGTGCATCCACTCAAACTGCTCCCTCTTCCCCTTCCAAATCCAGAAACAAAAATTCTGCCAAATTCCTATATAAACCACAAACATCCCTACAGTCTTCCTCAACTTCTGCTTCACAGCTTCAGGGAAAGGAAGGAGGATTATATTATTTGTATTACTATGATGCAATAACTTTAATGATTCATTTTTTCTTAGTCCTTAGTGCTTGTGTAAGACCATTTTAAACATCTTTTATATAACAAAATTTCCAGCAAAAGATTTCCCATTTTGAGTCTTTGTAGCTGACACTTAAAGTTTGCCAAAATCAAGGAATTCTGTTCTAATTGCAGAGGCCAGTTTGCAGGGAGACTACATGCTGGAATGGTTGTGGATTCCCAGAACTAATTCTCTATTCAAGAGGTAAAACAGCCTTATAGAGAATTAAAAAATAAATAAATAAATAAATAAATAAATAAAGCTAAATAAAAACTTTAAAATGCAAGAGGAAAGAAATCAGGACTGTTTGTTAATAAGAAGCAAGGAAGAGTGTATGTATACATATGTGTGTGTGTATATGTACATAAATACATCATTCATCTAAGTTGAAGACACATTAAGTAACATTTCCTATTAATCACTATAAAAATTAACCATCTAACCAATAAAATTCCATTCTCATTTCAGCAGCTTCTGATAGCACTCCATACTATCCTTTGGTCTGGGAATCAAAAACTCATAATCACCGCTATGATTTTGCTGTGAGGTTTCATATCAAACAGCTACATCACAATCAACTGAAAAATCAGAGAAAAAAGATTCTGTGAATCTGTAATTAGTTGTAGGCATTCTTTCAAACATGCTCCTTAGCAGATGTCAAGCTGAAAAAAAAAGAAACCTTGTTCTTGATCAAATTACTGAACTCTGGTAAAACTCAATTCCGCAAATTCTTTCCAAAATGGGATGTTGTCTACCTGTATTTTTGTCCAGAACACTTGTCCTCTAGAAGCACGCTGCTATATGGACAAAACTTTTGTGAAGGTGGTTACCACAGAGTGCACTGAGCAAGAAGCCTACAGGAAGAAAATTAAACCTCATTCTGCATTTATTCATGAGATCTGTGCCACATTTTCCCAGAGATTTACATGTGTCTTCTCCACAAACATAATGTAGGCCCAGTGGGTTTCCCAACATACATCTTCTGTCAGAAATCGAGGGCAAGAACTTCAAAGTCTAATGCATAGCATTAGCATAGCATAGCACTACGGCACCTAAAACAAAGGATTATGTCTCACAATCAGATAACTTTTGTTTTATACATCAGCATATTTCCTTAACATTTAAGAATGCCACACCTTTTTGTCAAATTGCTATTTAACGTATTAATTACATAAACCTACCCTGAAGGAAAACAATTTGAGCTGCATTTCTTCTCGACACCCTACACCTCCTCAGCATGTTCTACTACGGCTCCTGACCTTGCTCTCATCTGCAGCCCTTCAGGGACCACTTGCTTGCCATCACAAAGCCATTTCAGACAGTTCGCAAGTACCAAAATCACACTGATTCCAGAAGCATTAGCACAACCAGCTGAAAGTCTGTTCAATCTGATTATGAGGAGTCATCTGGATTAAACCAAAAATAGATCAAGTGAATCCACCGGTAAGAAAACATGCCGGATTGTCTCCTGCAGCAACAGCTTCTCTTTGGGGAATGGAGCTTCTCTTTGGAAAACTCATTTTTTAAGACTGTTCTGTTTCTTGCCTACCAAATGGAATTTAAGGCACAACGCTAAGAAGCAAGAGAATGATCTTTCCTCCCTGTCACATTCCTAGAGGTTTTAGGGAAACAGGAAATCACTGCTACTCAAGAGTTCTCCATACCTCACCCTGCACATCTAACCATGCCTTCCTCTTCTTGTCTTCTGAGCCCCTCCCATTTAATACTTTTCTGAAGTATGCCTACACCTTGCCATCAATCTTCCTTCTGGCCCCTCTGCTCTCTGTCCCTGTCACTGCTCACCTCTGTTCCCTTTGCTCCCATTCCTCAGTTCAATAGCTGCAGGACACAGGGTTCATCCATGCTATGGGCAAGGCTGTGCTGGGCCATCTGACCAAGGAGCACTTGTCTACACAGCTAACAACCCAACGACCTCCACAATGGTGTGGCTACACCAACCCAAATGTATCCCATAAACTAGGGCTGACAGCCAGTAAGATCTTGGCTTTAAAAAAACTTCATAAGGAAACGTGCACAGCCCAACTTAGATCTTTCAATGGGGTGTGGGGTAAGAAGCCAGGAAATCAGCAGTCAGCCAACAGATGGAAATGCTTTGGCTCAAACTACTAAAAAGAGAGCATTTATTACTTGTGGTCCTTTTTTGCCAACAAAACTGTTGCTATTATTATTTTATATTGTTATGTAAAATTATTATTATGGCTTTCAACTTGTTATCTTTCATTATGTTAGTTCTCTTGCATCATTAGAGTTGTAAAGAACTTAAAATTCAGTCATTTGGTACTCTGTAATAATCAAGTTTAACTGAACATTTCATGTCTCTTAAACAGAATAAAAAATCTGTTGGGGGAGAAAATATCATCAAGACTTAGACAGTATTGAGAAAAGTTACCTAGCTTTAAGGTCCATTTTTAGGTTGGTATTTCTAAGATTAACATATTTTCCCAGCAGTTTATTAGATCTACTTAAATGAACCAAATAAAGACATGAGCAATTTAGTTGATTAGGACTCCATGTATCACATTCAGGGAAATGGCATTTAAGTCCCTATTATTCTACCAGGGTAGGCAAAGCATTAGAGTAATTCAATTAACAGTCAGTTTTTCTGACTGGAGTTTGCTTTAGCCAGTTTCAATCCAAATTCATGCTCTATTTTGACCAGAAGTTCCAACCTCTCTGCCCTAAAGTCAGAGAACAGCAGCAAACAGGAGCAGTTTTTAAGACGTACTTTTCATTTTGGATGAGCAGCCTAGGGGTGGAGGTGGGTTAACTTTCAGAAAGCTTTCTTTTATACTGACATGTTCTACATGCAACACTCAGAATGAGCTTTGTGGTTATCACTATATAGTTGGCAAAGTTAAAGAAAAAAGGGGCTTATTATAGTTCAGGAGAACAAGCTGTTGCAAGGTTATAAGGCCACTCTAACACTTAAGTAACATAAGGTACTGCAGAGCATATTTATTCTGCAGTATATTAGAAAGATCAGATTTAAGTGCTTCCCATTTATCCCAAATGCTAATTAGATGTTCATTCAAAGTGAATAAAAAAGAAAAAAAAGCCCACAAAAGTCTGATGGTAATGGTGATGCATCATCACTTGACACAGCTGCTTCCCCTCCTTTACAAGAGCTAGGAGATGCAGTAAATTGCAGAAGTGAATGCTGACCACTGTTTCCCAGTAGCCCTTGGCTCATCAAATTCACAGAGAGGCTTGTTATAGTTTACACAGAGGTTTCCCAAGGGATGCATGTTTCTTTAAAATTTTAAGTAGCAAGCCCATTAAAAAAAAAAGTTAACACCTGCATAACTTTGCTTTACCACACGTGAAGTAGGTCTAAGCTTTCTATATTTAAAATTACTTTGGAAGATTACATCTGGCAGCAAGGAATGGAAAGGAATGACAACAGTAAAACCAAACTAGGATGACTAGGATGTGTTGGGAGACACAGATTTAGGTGTTCTGCACAACAGGTTACCAGCAAGAAACTCACAGGGTTAAGCACTAAATGGATGCCACTGCAGCACAGCACACGGCAGCCCCAGTGCAGTTCATATCTGCAGCATTTTAAATGCTACATGGAACGGAGAAAATGTTTTAGAGGGCATTTTTGTTAATTAGTGGGATTTTCAGTATTAAGGCAAAAGCAGATTTAGACTATCCAGAGCTCTGAATTCCTACTAAAAAATGCAATTTCTACCTCCTCCCCCAAAAAATCTAATAGTCAAACTAGGCAAATTATTCCAATCATGCAGAAGCTCTGTTCTTAATTGTTTTTGCCATTTCATTTTCCCTCAAACTCCCTTTCCACTGAATAAATAACAAATAACGTAAAGCTGGTAATTGTATAACACATGAAGTATTATCTACATGACACACTGAAGCTAATACACTACCAGAATAACAGCAGACCAACTTTGATAGATTTTTAATTTGAGAAGTTTTACAGGTATTAATTGCTAAGCATTTCATGTAGAGATTTTAAAGAAGGAAGAGAAGGAAGTTACCAGACTTTGCCAGTATAGGTGATCCAGGTGGAGAAAGGTTTATGCCAGGCGACAAGTAAAGATAATTTCTGTTCACTCCAGCATTGAAATCGAAGGGTGATTTGTAATCCTCATACAGATCCATGCCAGACAGTTCAGAGTGCACAGCCATCCTCTTCTTCTACTGAAGCATTCATCTTTGCTCTCTGAGGTGACCCAGACAGCAGGATTCAGAAACCCTCCATTTCTCCACATGACACTCACTGTGCCTCCTCAGAGAATTCAGCTCTGTTACATATGATAGAGCCGTCTAGCAAGCGATTTCTTAGCCATCCTGTAGCTGCTGCTGTTTACATGGCACAAGGTCAAGTTCCTGTAAATTTATAACTGAGGCTGGACTTAAACAGACCGTTCCTTTAACAAACATTCACAGCACACCACTCATGGCTTCTTGGAAGAGCCTTGGTCCTCTGCATCAGCTATGTTCAATCGTTTAAAAAAAAAAAAAAAAAAAAAAGGTCAGCTGACTGCAGCTACACCAGGATATCCTTAATCTTCTAGGACACAAAAGGATTACCAGCCGTAATCTATCCCATATACCATCTGTGTTGGACTTCTTCCTCTGATTAATGGAAAATTCTGCGTGCATAGCTATTTGTCCAGCTGCTTCCATCACTGTAATAACCACTGGTGAGAACCCAGTCTCTGCTGCCCAGGTATCACACCATAGTGCAAGTTCAGAATAGGAGAGAGCAGCACTCTTCTCTGAAGGCTGGGCTATAAACACCACCTAGGTTTACTGATGAATGTTCTAATGTGCATTATGATTTTTGCTCATAAGGCTAAACATATTTGGGTCTGAGGGGGTTTTGTTTGGGGGAGGGGCTTGTTAAATATTTATGAAGTACAGTATCCTATGTCCTTGGTGCTTCAACCAGCATGGTTTATAGCAGCCAGTAACGGCAGTAAGCATTGCTTGAAATGTATTTATGTTTTGACACATACACAACAAAGAAAGGTCAACTTACATAAGCCATCTGACTTCATGCCAGGCCTTTAAGATTCAACCCTGGGAAGTAAAAATACTTCTTACCTAAAAGAGGCACTCAGCACAGTTTTGCAGCACTTCACTACATTTTTTTGCTTTTATTTTAAGGTCAGCTTCTTTCACAGAAAACAGCTTTACAATTGTGCAACAATTTCCTCCCAAACCTGGGATCCTCACTGCCACCTGCACACAGAGGAGCATAAGCAAATGGAAGTTAATCTTTTCCTGCACAGTATGGACAGAGCTGATCGGGCATTATTCCAGAGAAGGAATAATGAAGGAGCCTTGCAGCATACCAAAATGAAGTCCAAGCAAAGTAATCCTCAAGCATATGAGAAGAAAGCACATCCATTCTGGAATCTTGACTTCCCATTTCCACTGCAGCCAGTCAGTTGGCACAGGAACAGACCTTCCAGCTAATTAAAAAGTACCTCCTTTAGGCTAAAGACCTACATTCACTTCTGATGCAGAGTACCTGCAGACTCATAACAATGAGAGTGCTGGAGCCTGAAACACAGGTCTCTGCTATTTTCGAAACGCACTGAAAAGAAGAAAATAGAATGCCCCTCTGCATTTCTGACACGTGGCTTTGACATCTGCCAGGAATACTGCAAAGTTCACCTGGCAGAGGCAAAGCTTTGGTCACAGACTGTAGTTAAAACATCCAGAGGCAGCAGAGAACTGTAACACAGCTACAGTAATAATATACTCTATTAACCAAGTTTGTTAATATGAACAACTACAGATTGTGCTTTGCAGCTTTCCCTTGTACAGCTCAGCAGTCAGGGGCTGCCTTCTGTGCAAAAGGCTCAGGTAGAAGTTGTGCTAACTGGGTTAGGCAAAATGACAAGTTATCAGATGTGGCACACAAAGAGCTGAGTGTTTTCTACCATCACTCTCCCAACACAGAAAGAGAGAAGGGGAGGCTACACCCTAGGACTTTCTCCCAACCCTAGAAAATCATTCAGTTTAACACCGGTCAGTGCTAGCTGGCAACAGCTGCAAGTAGCTATTACAGGAAAAATAACCCCTTGTGAAAATCTGTTGATCTGTTGATCCCTGCTAACAATCAAGAATTCCATTTCCTAGGCATTTCTTGGAGGAAACCTTATGTTCTCGTCTTTTACAGGAAATTCCCTACATCCAGATTTCCCCATTACCAACCATTTAAAAAAACCTGGGACTCTTCCTGTATCTTTGTAGTGCAAAAGTTGTTTTCATGTCCCTAGAGACATCTGGATTGCCAGTCTCAACCACCGACCTGGCCTGCCACCCCTACTGACAGAAATCTGTATGGGTCAAACTCTTCAACACCTCTTCAGTGTAGTCAGAGACACATAAAGGACATGGCCCACTGCTGGAACATACATTTGGCTTACAGGGAAGATTTGCTGAATAACATATCTGAGCCTCCACCTGAGAGTCTGAATTCTGCTATTGTTCTTCCTTATGCACAGCCTGAGCACAAGCCCAGAAGTCATCCAAGACAATCTCTAGTTTTTAGAAATATTACAGAAATTCTACTGGTCTAAGGTCATTACCAAGAGAGGGACACCATGCAAGTGCTCCTTACTTCAAGTTTCTCTCTTTGCTCAGATTAATCTCAATTACAGTGGCCATACAGATGGGTTGCTACAGCACCTCCCAAACACATCATCCAAACACATCAGTCTCCTGCTCTCTTACCTGCTGGAGTTCACAGGAGTGTTGCTCCTCACTTAATCTCAGGTACAAATCCTACCTAGTGATGAAGAAAGCTGTTTTGTTGAACAAGCTTCTTCCTCATCACTTAGGGAAGTTTTATGGTCTTCAAACTGAAGTACAAGTCAATCTCTCTGTAGAGAGAAAGGACTGCAGTCCACCCTTCCAAATCTGCTGTAGAACAACTTCTAGGCTGTCATCCCTAACTCATCCACTTCAGAGAAGACAATCTCTAGTTTTGAGAGATCCCCTGCCAGTCATAACAACCATTTTATCTGCTTCTTCCCCAGTAGTTCCTTAGCACATCCACAGATTCAGGGCAGAGCAAGATAGCAGTCCCCTATACTGCCTAAAACCAGTCAGAAGAAGATAGGTTCTGCTCACTGTGGTACATTTGGAGGAGGAATGAATCTCTCCAAGGGATTTTCCAAATTCAAGTGATGGCCCAAGGAAACAAAACACAATGTATGACATGTGTGGGTGCACAGAACCAAAAAGCAAGGTTTTTCTCTGCAGTGTGAAGCTTTCTGACCAGTTCAGCAGCTCTCGACAGTCACAGAAATCAAGATTTCTGTACACTATGAAAACAGGCTCATTATGAGGCCTTTCTAAAGGGCCCTCCCATGACCAAAATATCCTGCTGGACAGGCTTCCTCTCCTTCACAATAATTCAGAGAATATGCAGCTGGCTGGAGGTGAAATTGAGGCTCTAGAGCCATACCCTAATAGATGGATGCTGCCTTCCCAGGGCAAGACATACACATTTCAGAGCTGAAGCTTAAGTTTCAGCTTCTGTTACATGGCTTAGAGCAATTAACGGTGCATCCTCAAGTATCTCTGTTCTTTGCTCTGCATTGCTAATTCAGCTTCACTGTGTACCTTGGTTATTACTGGAGACACCAGCTGCAAGGCAGTACCTGCAAATATCTTGAAGCCTAAGGAAGGAGCTGTTCCAGAGCCAAGTAGCAGTGGGGTTTTGCTTACATGCAAGAGATTAAAACCGAAGATTTTGCCGTTCCAGAACAAGCACTCATTCGCCCTTAACGCCTCAGGATAACTAAGAGGTTAGTACTTAAGTCATCTATGCCATTTTAGAAGCTGGCGTCTGGAAGACTGGCACAAAGGTAGATAACTTCAGTCAAGGATGCTTGAACCAATTACTGACAAGTTCAACTGAATGTCACTAAGTGTCTCGGGAACGTTCAGCAAAGCATTACCATCACAACTCCTACCATTAACCATGCTGTAATCTCTTCTGTTAAGGTTAAGGAATGTACTTAAAGCTTTTCTAGGTAACTATTTAGCATTAACAGTCAGTACAGATTGTGCACCTCATGAATCATATGGAAGGGAACTCCCTCCACAGCTACAAAAGCTGTTAAGTTTGAGCAAACACTTTTCACCAGATATTTGCCTGCTTAGTCTCTGATGTGGTTCTTTCTTCAGCTAGCACCTGCTACCCAGGTCTGCAGCTTCCACCTTAACCCAAGGCTCCAGCAATGATTTAAGCAATGCAGCATAGTATTGAAGCACTTCTACCTTGGCAGCTAAGCAAGGATAGGATGTTATGGTAGCCTTGTGGAGAAGCTGCTTTTCCCACATATAGGACTAGCAGAACAATAGTTTGTTTATACATGGAAACCTCATATCCCTCTTTCCCTACAGGAACCGAACTCTGATGAAGTATGAATGAGTACCACCTGTGGGCTTTGAAGAAACTGAACTAAGTATTCAGTAGTGTTTAACACAAACAGTTAAACTCAGCAAAGGCTACTACTCATGCCTCAGGATTGAAGGAATGCAGAAGCCACCCTAAGATATGATCTAAACAATATTTTGGACAAAGTTATCCACGCTACATCCTGTGTTTGTGTCCTGATTATACCCAGAGCTGCCAAACTTGTGCACCACAGCTCATACTTTTGGCAAGGTTATCATGACTCCAGCACTTAATCAAGCAAACAAAAGAAACTGGGGGAAAATGACAAGAAGACTTGTTGACAAAGAGGGGGAAGAAGTGCAAGAAGCACTTGCTCTTTGGGGACATAGCAAAAAGATTAAGTCTCTTATTTCAAGGTTGTCTGTTAAGATTCAGTTGCCTTCTCAGCCTGTACTTGGTTTGAATTTCAATGTCTGCAATCTGCTAAGAGGCAAAATTGATGAGAGGCCTTCCAGTAAGCGTGTCTGGGGCACAGACTTCCAGCCAGGTGGTCTTCTACCACCCTCATCTTTCCCAGGCAGATCCCAATCAGGCAGCAACAGTCAGGCTCCTCTTCCCACTCCAACAGAGTTTTATACGGCATAAGCCATTTTAAGAGCCATAAAACTACTTAAGCATCTTAAGCCAATCTAGATTCTGTAGCATCAGTTTGATCTTCAAAGTCTTACCAGTTTACAGACAAGTAAAGCCTTTCAGCACCTGATTTGAGGCCTTAAAACCGAATTAAGAGAAAAAGATGCTGTGAAGCAATAGGACAGAAGCCCAAAGAATAAACAAGCCTGAAATTTGTAAATTATTTCGACACTGTACTCTCTCCCCTTCCTTGAACAGCAGACACTTCTTTCAGTCCTCTGAGATTTGTGCATGACATGAATGGAGCTGCATAGCTACAGCAATTCTTGAACAGTATAAACACAGGTTTCTGCAGCTCCTTTAGTAATGGCCAGCAGAATGTGGCTTAAGGGGTTAAGTATCTGTTGTCTTCTATCAGAGTACTCAACACCATGATATTAATCTCAATACTTCAGCCTCCCCCACATGCTTTCTCTGGACAAGCTCTGCCTGATACAACTGCATAATTCACTACAGTTCTTTGTACAGAAATATCTTCTCCTGCATTTCTTTAGCCTAAGTGCTGCCTTCACTTTTATTAAAACAAACAAAAAACCCAAAGAAAAATATCACCAACCACCACCTCTTAGAAGATGTATCTCCCTGCAACACAAACACTTCCAAATGTTACAGGTAGGGATCACGGGGTTGCCAGTATTGCTCCTCTCTTAAACCAAAGTCTCAGCCCACAGTATTTCAGACAGCTGACGCTTGTCTTGGCAAAGGCAGCAGTTCTCGTCTCTCCTCTCAATCCAATTATAAACTCAGACTAATTTCCTGAGCTCTTGTGAGGGAGTAGATCAACACTTCAGCATATTCTGTGACTAGACAAGCGATACTACAGTAAAATACTTAACCCATTCATGTCAGACAAAATTATCTGTATTTGCACACATTCTCTACTACCTTATAAGTGTTTCAGCATTTAGAAGATTAGGCAGAAATCTCTCCTTTATGACAAAGTTGTGTGTCTCAGTGCTCAAAGCAGTCACGTTTGTCAGCTCCATCACTCAAGGGTGAAAAGTTTTTCGATCTATGGAAAAGGTCCAGGCCAAAGGACAGAGCAGCACCCCAGAACCAGTGATCAGAGTTTGCATTAACTTTGGAGATCAAACCCTGCAAACACCTCCAAGTGAGATTAACAGAGTCAAAACACTGTCAGGTAGATTTTAGAAGAATGTATTTAGTTATTTCACTTCAGCTGCTTATCCCAGTTACGCTGTCATTCTCTATAGACTCCGATTCCTCAGGCAAGAGACTGATCCTGTCAAAAATGTGAAAAAACAGCACTGAGCTGCAGCTAGATAGATGATAGTTGGAAAAGGTTAGGAAGAAAAAACTGCAAGGCAGAAATGGGATTGCTTCAAACAAAGTTTCAGTATGTAACCTTGCAATCTAACTGAAAGTTTTACTTGAGTGACTCTGGAGTGACTCCCAGCCTCCCTCAGAAGGCAAGTCTGCTTTTCCGCACTCCTAAAGCAAACCTCCCTCTTTTAACACAGCATCCCAGAGCCTCCATTTCTGAAA